CCTCAGCACTGACCCTCCGACAGTGCGGCGCTCCCTCAGCACTGACCATGCTATGTTCCCTCAATCCTGTGAAGTACCTGCCTACATTGGACACGCTGCAGTGGAGCGTTTTTGGAAGTTTTCCGAGCGAGATTGCTTTGAGGGTTAGACTTAATAAATGTTATATAGCTTGTCAAGTCATGGAATAAGAAATTCTGTTTCAACTGTGCACAGATGTTGCTGTCTGCCCCCTTCTCATAGGATTAGAAGGATCCCAATCCAGCCGAGGAATGGTGTGTATTAGGGATGGTGGCGTTGATGAGAGAGAAGTTGTCTAGTTAATATGAGATGTTGGATGTCAGGCAGCGTGACATGAAGACAAGACGGCGGAAATAGTTTGTAGAGGCTCCTGTGAGACTCCCATTAATACTCACTGACTAAGGAAGGCAAACAGGTAACGCATCATGATGATGGTGGGTTTTGGCAAACACAGGAGAACTTTACGGATTTGCTGAGCTCGTTCGGTGAGATTTTCAATTGCTGCAAAAAGTGGGAACAAGAAATGCATTAAAACAAATTTGTTAGATCACAAAAAAGTCCACAGAGAACCTCCTTTCTCCAGATCCCAGCCTACACTCTCCCTGGAACAATCCAGTGCTCAGACCACTGGGGACTGGTCACCTCACCCAAGGTGCACTCTTCATGCCAAAGACCAAATGTAAATGCCGCCCCAGACTATTGGTACAGTTGGATATTAGCCCCTCCTCACTGATGTGCCAGTAGGAACAGATTTCTTTCAATTTGTTCATGGGGTGTAAGTGTCACTGTCTGGGCCAGTATTTATTGGCCAGAGAGCAATTGAGAGAGAATCACATTGCTGTGAGTCTAGAGTCACATGTAGGCCAGACCAGATGAGGATTCTGTCTCTAAATGATGTTGGTGAACCAGATGGGCATTTTTTAAACATCAATTGGCTGTGGTTTCATGGTCTCCATTGAAGTTTTTTAATCCCTGATTTTCTGTGAGGGTAAATTTCATGGTGGGATTTGAACCCATGGGGTTCAGGATTACTAATGCAGTGACATTAGCACAGGGTCACCATCTTCCCACATGATGATCCAGAGAGATTGGTTTTCCTCTATTACTGTGGTGAACTGAATACAGCTGATCGAGCCTAAAACTGAGAGATCTGCTGAAGGAACTCAGCTCCAGTCTGTGGAGGTCAGCATCAATGGGAAATACCGAGCTACGGAGGGGAGGAGGCAGAACATTAAATGTTGTGTTTCTGACTGCACACTGTCTACACAGAAGTAACTGCAGGATGGCAGAAACCTGATGTTTCTTCACAATCTCCAGTCTTTGAAAGGTGCCCTTTTTAAGGTATCGGACCCTGTGTAAATGCCTCTCATGTCCTCCTCAAATCTTTTTGACCACTGTCCACATTCTCTAATCACCTCATTTCCTTTAACTACAGGAGAGGTCACATCACTTGAATCTCACATTTAACAGAATCCAGACCAATTCCGAAGGCAGGTTCACAGCAACGTTCTGCATTAGCCAAGTCTTCCTATGCAAACTCTCCACTGTTACTCAGCTTGCTTCAGCTTTCAACCGTGAAAAAATAAACCAACACATTTGTTTTTCCTTTTCTTCCCAGACCCCTGCTCAATGATTCCATCACATCAACAGACCATTGACTTCATTCTCAAATTAAAGCTTTTACCCTTTGCTACTGCATTCTCTCTTATTTTTTTCCCACTGGCTCACAGGAATATGGATAAAATGATGAGATAATTATGATTATTTCTGGACTGTTATCAGTCAGCAGAGGAAAGATGAAACACAAGCTGATTGTTCACTGCCTTCACTCTCACTGTTCCTCCAATCACGGGGATTCATGGCTATTTTAAACTTACATTTGCTTTTAATTATTCTATTTTCTTTACTCCTTGTGAGGAAGGGCTGTTGTGGCACAGTGGTAATGCACCAACTTCTGAGCCAGAAGGCCTAGGTTCAAGTCCCACCTACTCCAGAGATATGTAATAACATCTCTCTGAACTGGGGTCAATTCAGTAGGTATCTACCCCACATGAGGGCTCCTGTGCTGCAGTAGTGTCTCTAGCTCAGAGTCACAAGGCCTGGGATTGAGTCCCAGAGGTGGGTACTAATGTCCAAACAGGCATCTATGCCTCAAGAAGCAGCAGCTTGAAGTTCACTGCAACAGTTGAGATTGTAATCTCCAATCTTACAGAGACTCAAATGATGTCCTACTCTCACTGTTGATGCTGTAGAGTTTGAAGACACATTACCTTGTCCATCTATTCTGATGGACAGTCAGAAAACTGGGGCTTTGCAGCTCTTCAACTGACTGTCTGTTATGTGTGAACTCTGACAGTGAGTGATGGCAGTTCACTCAACTATGGAATGTCAGAGACAAATACAGAAGCAGATCCCCGACACTCCATTATTGGTTGAAGTTTTCTCTGTTGTCTTAATTGCCCCCAACTCTGTAATCTCCTCTAGCTCCAAAATCCTTTAACAGCACTCCTCCAATTCCTGCCTCATGCTGCATTCCCAAATTGTTCACCATTCTACCATTGGTGGCTTTGCCCTAAGCCCTGAAATTCCCTCCCCTCTTCACTTCTAGCCAGCAGTACACGCTGCCTAATTTTGCTCCAAATCTGTTCACGTTTACCCAAATGGTGGGTGAAGCAGAGACACACTCAGTACCTGCTGATCTCCAGGACAGTTTTGGTCCTGCACGAGGGAGCTGTAAATAATGATGTACAGAAAGCAACCAATGCAACACAGCGGTCCTTTATTTACGTAACCTATAACTCATTCAATGTCATATCCCAGTGTCATATTTCCATTAAAGACTCTCCCTGAAACCCAGCTCACTGACTGAACTTCTAATCGCCTGTCTAAGCATCTCATTCGAGTTTGCTCATGCTCCTGTGGTTCTTATCGCTGCACTTCAGCTCTGAGGAAGAATCATCGAGATGTGAAACGTTAGCTTGCTCTCTCCATGGATGCTGCCAGACCCGCTGTGATCTCCAGCACCTGCTTGTTACCACTGCATTAAAGGTGCTGCATGAAACAAAGTTATTGTCACAAGTTGTTTATACATTTGGACAGGAGTCTGGAGTTGGAGTCCTTGATAAGATAACACCTCAACAAATGGTTTAAAGCAGCAAATTAGGGTAGTGATTGGGAACGTGGGCTAATTAAGCTGAGGTCCCCTGGAACTGCTCCCAGAAAGCCCCTATTGAAGGTCTGTGTGTGTGGACATTGGGTACTCCATATGGTACAGTCCCCAGATAATGTGTTTTCCTGATTGTTTCATCAGATATGGGTGTTGCTGCAAAGGCTGTAATGAGGTCAGCCAGGTGGACCTCAGAGAATGAGTATCCTGATTGGGGCTGTTAATCTGGTTCAATCAGGGAGCCCTGGCTGACAGATATAAACAGGAGTGTCAGAGATTCTGTTCACTCTGAGAGCTGGCTCTGAGGGAGCTGGATCAGTGCCAAGGACTCTTCACGTGTAAATAAAGGGTGACGTGGTGACGAATACTGGTCCCTGTGGAGTTATCTCTAATTGCCTAATAATAGTGTCTTGCTTGGCCATTTCAGAGGGAAATCACATTGTTGTGGATCTGGAGTCACCCAAAGTCTAGAGCAGGTAAGGAGTGGGGGCTGACAGTGCATGTGGAGGATGTGTTAAGGAGGAAGAAGCCAAACTGGGGTGTCAGCAATGTGAGAATGCTGTGAGTGTGAAGGGTGTGTTGGTCCCATGATGGTGGGATCAAACATGGGTTGGGTTAGGGTTTGCTGGGATTGGAATGGTGGGGGTGATGGGGAATGGAGCAGAGTTGACTAGGCCAGCAGATGAGGAGGGCTGCTCACTCGGTGTGGATGGGAAAGTGGAGTTGCTGGTGGGAGTAGGGAGAAGTGATGTGGAGTGTTCATGTGAATTAAGATAATATGGGAGTAGGAAGTGCCTGGAGCTCAGACTGACAGTCAATGTTCCTCACGGGGGTTGTGGGGGGAGGGTGGGAGGTGGAGGAATGTAGATTCTGTGCTTAACATCCCAATCATCAGCTTGTATTCCCAGTGGTCGCTTTGTGTCTGAAGTGGGTATGGGATCTGAGCTCAGAGACAAGTGTGGGTTCAGGAAGAAAACGGTCTGATCCCATGACCATTTCCATTAGATGCCTGGGGAATGCAATCTCTGTCTTAGATCTGGAATTAACCCATCAGAACCCTACAACCCAATGGTCTCAATGTGGACTTTACAAGCTTCAAAATCTCCCCACCCCCCGACCTCATCCCAAGACCAGCCCCACTCTCGTCCCCACCTCCTTGACCTGTCCGTTTTTTCTCCCACCTATCCGTTCCTCCCATCTCACTGAACAACCCCCACCCCAACTTCCTACCTACACTCACCCCTACTAGCCTCATCCTCGCCTCCTTGACCTGTCCGTCTTCTCTCCACCTATCTGCTCCACTATCTACCTTCTATCACCACCTCCCCCTCTCTCTATTTATTTCAGAGTCCCCTTCCCCTCCCTCATTTCTGAAGAAGGGTCCAGACCCAAAACGTCAGCTTTCCTGCTCGTCTGATGCTGCCTGGCCCGCTGTGTTCATCCAGCTTCACACTGTGTTATCTCTGACTCTAGCTTCGGCAGTTCCTACTGTCTCAGGTCTCCAGTTGTTTAACTGGATCCTAAAGAAATCACTCAGTGATAGCAAGAACTGCAGATGCTGGAGTCAGAGATAACAATGTGGAGCTGGAGGAACACAGCAGATCAGCAACATCAGAGGAGCAGGAAAGTCAATGTTTCGGTTCAGGACTCCTCTGATGCTGCCTGACCTCCTAAAGAAATCAATTAGTTTCAACTGTTAGCCTCAGGCTAGAAGAGGAGAATACAGACAAATTGAAAAAGGGGATGAGAGGGTAGGGTAAAACACAGTGGGGGAGGAGAGGCAGAAGGAGAAGGGTGGGGGTGGGGGGAGAGAGACAGGGAGAAAGATAGAGACAATGCAATGGGATAATGAGAGAAATAGAGCAGGGAGATCAAACAGGAAAGAGTGAGAGAGAGAAAAGGGGATGAGATACAGAAGATGTGATACAGGCTGCTGGAGAGAAGGAAAAGTGAAGTGGACTTAGTGATGGGGCTGCAGAAAGAGAAAGAGAGACAGACAGACAAAGAAAACGAGGGAGCTCAAAGGATGAAATAAAATCTCAGAAAACAGAGATCTAACAGCAGATTGTGTTGGCCCCCTTTTCCTTATTTAACATCAAAAAATAAAGTTAAGGGAAAGTTCCAAACTGTAACTTCAGCGCAGACTGTGTGTGGGATTTCTGTCCAGGTCACATAGCTATGTAACCTCGGTTTAACTGAGACAATGGACTATCCTGAACACAGTTCCCCTTCAAAGAATGTATCTTCCATCGGAGCGAGTGGGGTCGGAGCCCTGAGCTGCTGACACATTCACTCTCGTCATTTCCAGATGGTTCCAGTTCTCAATCAGCAGTCTCCATCCTGTCACTGGGAGAATCACCCAGCACTGACTGCACACAGACTCCAGTTTCGACAGCTGTTTGCCTTGTGCTTTTTAGCTTCAAAGACACAGGGAAAGTCTCTTATTATAGCTACTCTAGTGTGTGCATCTTTTTGTAATTTCCTTGAAAATCTGCTCCTTTACAGCTTTCCCTCGAATCAGTGACCTAGAGGCTACACTGAGCAACATAACTGCACCTATCTAGTCACTCACCTCTAGCCAAATCAATTTTGTCGTTGCATCCTCTGGGACATCTTCTCTCTCCAGTATTGTAATGTTCTCCTTAATCAATACTGCCACCATTTCCAATCTTTCATGAATACCTTGTATCCAGGGGTTTTTAATATCCAGTCCTGCCAAGCCCTCACCAATCCAGATCTCATGTTCAGCTGCAACTTCATATTTGCAGGTTGCCATTCGTGCCTGTAATTCACGAATCTTACTGACCATGCTCTGTCACTTCACATAAATGCACGGAAAGCTCGGTTTAGACTCCTCTTCCTTACTCTGACCCAACCGATTAACATGCTGTTCTCTACTCCAGTGCTATTGATCTCTCCTGGATATTTTGTGCACCGTTCGTATTCCTTTCTGATATTATTGTCTAGTTCACATACTCCTGCACTAGCAAAACGCCCCACACAGAACTCAGTCCCAGCTCTATTTAGGTGGAACCCATGCGCCTGTAGATATCCCATCTCTCCCAGCACCGATCCCCAAACCCCAGGAACCTAAAGCTCTTCCTCCTATTCCAACTTCCACACATTCACCTGTCCATTTTCTCTCCCACCGATCCGCCCCTCCCATCCCACGACCAATTCCCACCACTCCCTACCTGGACTCACCTATCACCATCCCACCTACCTTTCCCAGTCCTACCCCTCCTCTATTTATTTCCCAGGTCCCTTCCCTCTCCCCATTTCTGAAGAAGGGCTCCAATCCAAAACATAAGCTTTCCTGCTCCTCTCATGCTGCCTGGCCTGCTGTGTTCCTCCAGCTCCACACTGTGCTGCTTCTGTATTAGCTGCCTGTTTCTGTGCCTGGTACTCAGAATATTTTGGAGATTCTTATTTTTGAGATCCTGCTTGCTAATCTTCTACTTTGTTCCCTAAAATTCTGACTGCAGGACCAGATTCCTTTCCCCATGTTGTTGACTTGAATAAAAACTGATCACTCTCTGTCTCACGGCGATGTGCAACTGCTCAGTGACATCTTTGACCATTTGGTCCATTTTGACTGCCTGATGGTGTCTCCTTCTCCATTCCAACTCCTACACTGGGATGGGGGTGGGGGGGAAAATGACCACACCTACCACAGCAGGCTGTGCACACACACAGCGCTCAGCTTCACTGAAACAGTCACACCAATGCCACAAGCGACTACAACCAACAACACCTCCCACACTCAGATAAAACAAAGAAACACAAAGAAACTCAGCAGGTCTGGCAGCAACTGTGGAGAGGAAAAGCAGAGTTAATGTTTTGGGTCCAGAGACCCCAAAGGGGGCTGAGTTTCTCCAGCAATTTGTTTTCATTTGCTGGACAATTTGTTCTCGAGCTCCCACACAGTGCGCACTCTCTTGGGTACTGATGCTCTGCTGTCCTTATGTTTATGAGTTAGCTCTTAGCCACTGAGAAAAAAGAAACTTCACTAACTCTTACAAACTTTACAACTATTGATAAACTTTACTAATATTGATAAATCCTACTAGTAATCAACACAGTTCACTGGTTTAAATAAACTGTACTTCAAACAAGATAACGGCCATCAGCTCCTCACTTGTTTCATGTCTTAATAGTTATTTTGGTGTAATTTTGAATCTGTCGGCAGTGGAGGTGCAGTTTCTAACCCGTAACACTCATATTCTTGCTTTCCTGAGAAGTCCCACCTCTTTTCCTCCCTTCCCACATTAGGCTCTGACTAGTTACAGGTGATAGTACCGCTGCCTGCTGGTCTGACCAAACTCTCAGCTTCTTCTCCGTGCTGGCTATAACCCCAACTGCTCTAAATGAGTCACACTGCAGCAACTTAATCTCAACTTACCCAATTCCCAACCCTCATGCCTCTTCATTGGAATTTACCAATGCCCATCGGAGCAGGCAGTAAGGATCTGGCTAAAAGATTGGATCATTCCAGAAACTCCATACTCTCAGCAAGATTCTAAAATCCTACAGGAACAGAAACAGAAGTTGCTGGAAAAGCTCAGCAGGTCTGGCAGCATCTGTGAAGGAAGAAACAGAGTTAACAGGGTCTGAGGAAGGATCACTGGACCCGAAACGTTAACTCTGTTTCTTCCT